GACCAGGATGGTCTCGATCTCTTAACCTCGTGATCCACCCGCCTCGGCCTCCCAAAGTGCTGGGATTACAGGCGTGAGCCACCGCGCCCGGCCCAGTTGACTTTGGAACTTATCTGTTTGATGTATGATATCTTTTAAAAATCTTGTGTTTAGTAAACAAAATAGCTCTTATATAATAGTATTAAGTTCAAAATCTAGAGAATGATAAGCACTCTTAATTACTTCTGTTACCTCTTCTGTTCTTGGAATTTCTCAGTATCACAAGGTTAGTATCTGATACTTTACTAGGTGCTCAATTAAGAAAGCTTTATTTTATTTCGGTGATAGAGCTGGAATTGGAATCCAGCTTTCCTCCCGTGAAATCTCCTCTCTTTCAATTATACCACATATGCTTTCCATGTGGCCAAAGCTGACTTTTTAAAGGGTTTGGAAGCAGTTTGTAGTGTGAATCAGTATTCTTTATTTCCTCTCTTTCTCTCGCATTTTTTGTAGCCATACAAAAATGTACATGTTTAAATCTATTATATGAATGCTGAAATGATAAGTAGGCTAAGGTAAAAGAAATAAAAAAACATTTTTAAAGCTTGCAATGTTTTATGTCTCATAACAAATATAAATGGCCCATATATCACACTTAAATAATGTATGTAAAGTAGGACATGAATTTATGGGCATTTTTAGCATGTATACTTTGTTTTTAAATAGCTCTAGTTAAAATGCTAAATATGAAGCAGTTATTTCCAGATGTATTTTTTTTTATGCTTTAAGGAGCTCAAGTTTAAGGAGAGAGGTAGTAAAAGAAAGGATAGAAACTCATAGACTTTTTTTGTCATTTGTGTTTTAAATTTTATTGTGGTAAAAATACAGACAGCAAAGTACACAATACTTAAATGTATAACGTGATGACTTTTTACAAATATATGTAATGTGTATATAGTAATCACCACACAAATCAATATATAGAATATTTAAATACCTCAGAAGTTTCCTTAGTACCCCAATTTTTGTCACTTGCACTCCTGCAAGAGGTAATCACTATTCTGACTTCTGTCATATATTGGTTTGTCTATTTGTTTTTGAAGTGCATGTAAATTAAGTCACACAATGGTGTCTTGTATCTGGTTTCTTTCACTCCTCATATATCTAAAAGATTCCTCTATATTGTTTTTTGTAGCAGTTGTTAATTTTTTCTTTGTAGTATTCTGTGATATAAATGGAACATTATATATCAATATGCCTGTTGATAGAGATTTGTTGTTTATAATTTTTTACTATTATGACTAGAGCTGCTGAAACATTCTTGTCTTTTGGTGAATATGTGCACTCATTTTCTTGGACTGTAAGGTTTTATAGTTTATAAAAGTTCAAAACATTTTAATTGAAATAGCTAGAATGCGAGGACTGCCTCACAAACAATTTTCAAGTCTGAGTGACCATATACCTCTTTGATTTATAATAGAAGCTGGGGAAAATTCTAGTGACTTTACAGCCACTTTAGAATGGTATCATATGCCTGTTCAAGAGTTATGGCTATTATACAGTCAGTCAGTAAATAGCAAGGTGCCATGCTAGGTGCTAGAGATATCTCTAAAAGACAGTCATACACCCTACATTCACCAATGAGCAAACAAGTCATTTGAAATAATGTACAGAGTGCAATGATAAGAGAAATGAGAGCTATTAGAGGAGTACTTGGAATGAAGCATCTCACCTACACCTGGGTAGTAACGGGAGACATCTTGTAAGAAATGACATCTAAACTGCATCCTAAATAATGAATTGGAATTAGGCAGGTGAAGGAGGTATGGTGAGGCTGGTGAGGTGAGCTAAGCATTGAGAGATTTTAGGCACTTTTTAAGGCTTGTAGACTTGAGAAATTGAGCTGGGTAAGCAAAGGGAACCACTGAAGATTATCTTTTTATTATAGAATACCTCAAATGTGTAAATAATAGAATGAATCCTTGTGTACACATCCCACAGTGTCAGCAGTTACCAACTCATAGCCAATCTTATTAAGACCACACCCATTGTCCCTAGAGGATTCTTTTGAAGCACATTTGAGATATTATATCATATCATTGAAGATTTATGGCAGGAGAGTGACATGATTAGTTTTGTATTTTAGAAATTACACGTACCTGGTAATTCTAAATTACCTTTAAAATGCACACATCATAGTTTAGGTGTTTTTCATTTGCTGCCATTTATACATAGACATTCACCTTTTTGCATGTACTATTTGCAGTAGTTTCATTTTTTTCAAACTATAACTATTTGGAATTATGATTAAACGTAAAATTGCTTTATGTATTCATCTTTCCATGTGTATTGGTTGGTTTATTTACATTTTAAAATACTATTAATGAATATTTTGGTTTCTATCTATAAAAATGTCATAAAAGTCAGTTTGTTTCTAGGATTTAGCCTTGATAATAGCAAAGATACTAGTATTTGGAAAGGAATTAGATTTATAGTTTTACTATGAATCTTTTTTACAGATTCAAGTTGAGGAATTGTTTTGTGGCTTGCATTTTGTTACTATGTGTGAAAATTTGTTTGCTTACTGTTTTCTTTGTTGGTAAAAATTAAATACAGACTGTTTGGGCATGGTGGCTCATGCCTGTAATCCCAGCATTTTAGGAGGCCAAGGCAGGCAGATCACCTGAGGTCAGGAGTTCGAGACCAGCCTAGCCAACATGGTAAAACCCTTGTCTCTACAAAAATACAAAAATTAGCCAGGCGTGGTGGCGTGCACCTGTAATCCCAGCTACTGGGGAGGCTGAGGCACGAGAATCACTTGAACCTGGGAGGTGGAGGTTGCAGTGAAACAAGATCGTGCCACTGCACTCCAGTCTGGACAACAGAGTGAGACCCTGTCTCAAAAAAAAAAAAAAATTAATATAGATTGCTTTTATTTTATTTAAAAAAGTTTTTTTTAAGATTAGGAAAAAAATTTGTATTAAATATGACCAACAATAATTAGTTTTGAATAAAATGTTTTATACAGATAAGTTTAAAAAAAATAGTATGACCTCAATCCAAAAGAAGGACAGTGACACAAACAGGCAAAGTACACAAGCAATAACAGGCAGGGAAAAATTCAACTTCACTCGTCATCAAAGAAAGTAAAATTTTAGACCTATTAAGCCAGCAAAAAAAAGCAACTGAAATTCCACCACCAATATTAGTGAAGTTGTAGTAAAACTAATCCACTCATTCCCTGCTAAAGATGATCTAAATTGGTAGAGCCCTTGTGCAAAGCATCATGGTAATACATGTTAAAATTCATGAGCAGGGTCATTTCTGTAGACCAGAAATCTCACTCCTAAATAAGCCCCATATCAAGAATAAAATTCAACCAAAGAATAACTTCACGCTAAAAAATGTGTATTGCTGCGTTATTGACAAGCAATCAAATGCCCAGTTCTACGTGAATTATTTATGATATAAAATAACTTGACCAAATAAATATACAGCCATAAAATGTATCATATTTAAGTACAAAATACAGCTTGTGGTATGCACAGCAACTAAAATTTCTGAAAATACATAAGCACAGGAAAGGGAACATACAATAAAGAAAAAAGAAGTTAATAATATTCAAATGAAGAAATGTTTATTTGATAGTGATACAGTATTTTTTAACTTAAAATGAGACAAATCCCTTTGTGCCTTTTGAGGTTTCCTTTTAAGCCACATGCCTATCTTATCTATTTAAATAATTATTTTTTAGAAATAAAAATATAAGAAAGAATAAGAACTGTATGCATAGGGATAAGCCATAAGCTGCACCACTGAATCCTAGATCCTCTTTCCCCAACAGCAGCCCATTTTTGGTTCTTAGATTGCTTTTATTTTAAAACTATTTAGCTATCTGTGGGCCACTAAGTTAAAAATACCTTCCGTAAGTGGAGTATTTCTTACAGCATTTTAGTTTAATTCCTTTTTTTGAAGGAAGTTTAGTAGATGGTAACTATTGCAGTACTTTGGGATAGCACTGTATTTATTCATGCATTCATCTTGTGAGAATCAGTGATTTTAATCTAAATTAGAGGTTTGCAAACTTTGGCTGCTGAGAATGGTTCTTACATTTTTAAAGAAATGTTAAATGAAAAAGAATTCGCAACAGAAACCATATGTGGCCTGAAAATGTAAAATATTTACTATCTGTGCCTTTACAGAAATCTTTTCAATCCCTGTCTAAATGAATATACCATACATTCTTGGCATATGCCTTTTTTCTTTTGAAAATCTATCAGATTTGTTTTAGAATTAATATTTGAAAATTAAAGTTTTCCTTTTCTTCTATAGAGAAGATGGCGAATTAGAAGATGGTGAAATAGATGATGCAGGATTTGAAGATATACAAGAAAAAGAAGCAAAAGAGAATGAAAAGCAGAAAAGTGATAAAGCCTACAGAAAATCAAGAAAAAAGCACAAGAAGGAAAGGGAAAAGAAAAAATCCAAAAGGAGAAAACGTGAGAAACATAAGGTTAGAATCTTTTTATTCTTTTGATAAATTTTTATGAAATATAAAATACTAAAAATTACAAAGTAGAAGTCATTATTTTATTATAAAACATATGGATTATTTGTTTTTGTTTATGTGATTAAACTTTTTAAACAAAGATCATATGAATTATCTTAAAGATTTAAAAAGTAATTACTTTTTAAATTACTTTTTTTTTTTTTTTTTTTTTTTTTTTTTTCTTATGTTAATAT